GATAAAAGTGCCCATCAGGAATTGTTTTAGTGAATAAACAATTTTTTCGCATGATTGTAAAACTAGTTTATCTAAATAGAAAATTCTGTATTAAGAATAATGTACTAAACTTATTTATCATTTCTTATACTTCTTTAATAATTGCTAAAAAAAATTTTTATTGAAAGGTATATTTTTACATAATATTAAACTTAAAATTTTAATGACAAAATCCTAAATTTAAAATTAATCTTCAGAAGTAAAAAATTGAAAACAAAGGTTTTTAAAATTTCTTTACTCAAAAACTATTTAGGTGAATATTATTTTGCAATGATTATTATTACTTTGCATTTTATTATTTAAAAATATATACTTTGAATATAAAATATTGTTTACCTTACAATTCAAAAAATGTAACTTGTGTAACATTTATAATTGCATTTTATTTGAAGCTAGTTTGAAATAAGCTTTACAATTGTGTACAAGAAGACTTAAAAATTCTATTAAAATAATATAATTTGTTCAAATTAATTATAATATTTCAGGTTAGCTTCTTGAACATTAAGATTGCCTCTTAACATGTAAAAATATAATTAGATGGAAAGTTATTAAGGTGTTACAGTTTTTGTTTTTTGTTATGCACTATATATGATTGATAAAACGATCATTGAAAAGGAACAAATTGTAATTTTTGATGGATTTTCAGGAGCTTGATAACTTTCAAAAAAAGTTGACTGAAGTCGAAAATTGGATTTATGAAGAGGGTCAAGATGAGAAAGAACAAGTATATAGTGATACCCTAACTGCATTAAAAGTGAGTCACATTTTGTTTTATTTATCTAAATTTTCCTGTNATTTATCTAAATTTTCCTGTAAAATATATTAAATTTTTCATGTTCAATATCGGAATCTGTTTTTGTAGTATTCTAACTATCATTATACAAAAATTATTATGTCCTAAAAAGATGACTCTTTATTTCAAATTTTATTGTTTAATTTTTTTTAATAATAAATTGTTTAATTTTTTTTTCCAGTTGCAAGCTGATCCAATATCTAGAAGAAAATATGAAAATGAAATGCGAGCTATTGTTTTACCAGACTTTCAAAATATTGTACAACAAGCACAGCAAATAATTAATGCATATTTGTCTAAAGATGAACAGTATTCTCACATCGAGCCATCTGAGATGGAGCAGGTATTACGTCATTTATCATTTCTTAGCTTTGCGTAACCTTCTTTTTATTTGCTTTCTTAAATCTTGTGAAAGGAGGAAAACAAAACATATTGTATAAAAATTATTGTTTTGCTTCCTGTAAAATTAGAGAGATGGATCATATTTAAATTAATTCTGTTCACGTTTAAATTAATTCTGTTTCTGTTTAATTCTGTTCACGTTTAAGGAAACTGATAAAAGATATATAAATATTGCAGACTACTTTCTCCTACAGTAAAAAAAAGGTAAAAACATTTGATTTGTTAAGGGCCTGTCAGAATAAGACAATCCATTTTTAGTGGTTCAATCAAATTTATTGCATTTACGACGTAATTTCATTTTCAAGAACAAATGTTCTCCTTATTTATCAAAATGTGTCGCCAAGTCTAGGATTCCAGTAAGACTACGTCTTTTTAATAATTCTATAATATATATATCGTAAAAGATAGCACAAATTAAATTTCTGACTTACGTGTTTAACTTTTAAAAGCTTTTATTTTGTTTTGAAAACATATTTGTATAATTTGATAACGAAATAAAACAGAACTATTTGCAGTTGCGAATGTTTACTTAAATCTTGTACTGCAATCGTCTTTTCTTAACTTACAACAGAATATACTGTTATATTATCTTTTTACCTCCACCTGCCTTATCATACGTAACTTTATAAAAATGAATTACACTGCTGAATTGGCATTTTTCTGTTGATTCCTGAATTACAGATTTATTTATTTTTTATACTAATCTTAAGATTTCCACTGAATTGCCCTCCTTCTTACTAACGAACCTCAATTACATTACTACTTAATAAGGGTCCTTGATAAGAACTTCAAATCATTAGCCAGTAAATTAGCCAAATATCAAAAGTATTAGCCAAATGCAAAATTAAAAAAAAAAAAAATTAGTTTGTTTAATTTTTTCCAATCCATTTCGATCTGACATTCGAAGGTTGTTG